AAACATGAATGAGCGAACACAAGCAGAATTTAAAGGGAAGTGGTTCAGAGAAACAGAGCCTCTTCTTTCTGCAAAGTATGCTTCCACAACCTTACCTACAGTAGGTATAAGAAACAAGATACCTAGAGATGTTGCAGAATCCAAAAGCCTAGCTTCTATCAAAGATACTGATGGATAACATCCTTAGATCACCTACTGTACAGTAGTTTATTCCTACCATGTGGTCTTGAGTGGAATGGCCCCCTCTGCTTGTAACCTTTCTATTGGTCTTGGGTAATTTGGACATTAAGATCAATTCCAGCGGATGCTCTATGATTCATTTAGCAGCTGTTTTTTCTCATCTAAACTCTTAGAGATACTCTTGGCAGGGCTATGTTTTGTTGTTTTGTATGTTCACCCTTCTAGAGGAAGGCATCCAGATTAAGTGATCCTTCTTCTTAATCTTAAATCTGATTGTTGGAGTTACTGTTCATCTCATGCTTTGTCTTTAAATCCTCATGAAACCAAAAATAAAATTACATTAGTCAAGCATAATTAAATACTTAATAAGCAAAAAAACGTAGATGCTTTTCTGTTCTCCTTTCTCTGAGAACAAGTCTCTGGCTCCCCTTCCTCCTTTGTTCTGTCTGCCTAGTCTGTAATGCTTGCACTGACATTTTCTTCCATCCTGCTGTTTTAACAGTTTAAAACTTTGCAGCTGAAGAGAACTATTTGCAGCTTGGGTTTTAGTGTGATATTTTTTCTGCTTTGTAATAACATACCTTTGCCACCTTTATATTCTCCATGCTCTTCTTTTTCTTTGAACATGTGACAGCAGCAATATATATAAACAGAGCACATGGAATGGTATGTTTTCTTGTTCAGAAGAATTGTGATAAAGTTCCTCATAAAAGATGCAGTAGATATTCAAGGTAATGGTACTTCAGAGTTCCTGCCTGTCTGACATGTGTGCACTGAATATCTGCACTGCTCCCCACATTTTTTCAAGGATTTACTGTCCGGTTGTGTCTACAATTCTTTCACTGCAAAATGTAGCTTTAAATAGGAATCTTGGGTATATATTCCATAGTGGTTACATGCTGTATCTAAGAAGAAGGAAGGTTGGTGTGTTGTTTTGTAGAGTTTTAGAAAATGCACTGAATTCTAACTACTGTACTTGAAAATTAATTGAACATCTTTATTTTTGTATTGAAGAGGATGAATAGAAACAGAACCAGGTCTAATATATTCTTTGTGTCAGGGATCCAGCAGGTAGTTCTCCGAGGATCCTGTGCATAGCCGTGAACTCTGCGGGATGTAGAGGCAAACAATCCAAAATCGTAATTGATAGGAAAAGCTAGAGATCAGTTACTAGAAAGGGTTGAGACAAACCAAGAAGACAATCCAAAGGGGAAATCCAAAAGGCGAGATCAAAAGGGAAAAGTTAAGTCCAAAAACTGAGGAAGCCAACAAGAAAATAACTAGAAAACTCTAAGAAGGTTTTTCAATATTGAGCAGGGTTTGGTGCATGAGGGAACTTTAAATACTGAAGAGAGAGGAACGTGGTTGGATAATTGGTTCAGGAGTGAGAATCTTTCGAATCTTGTGCCTGTGAGAATGAGATGGTTTCAGTTATGAATGAGCGTGAAACAGTGGGTTTGGGAATGTAATGGGGTTTGCGAGGGCGAGAACGGGATGTGACACTTTGGACTTATGCTTTATGAATAGTAAAGCTATAATGAATTAGTAAAGGAACAAGTAATAGGTTTATTCCATGCTGAAAAAAAGGAGAAAGAAAACACAATATTTAGGCTGTGGAGCCTTCTTCAGATGTGAAAAAGACAACGCAGTAAGCAAAGGTAATGTAGTGGGAAACAAAGGCTGCGAGAGAGGAGGAGCGAGAGGCAGGAGCAGTGGACAGAAAGAGAGGCCAATCAAGAGGTGTGAAGTCAGAATAGGTGTAGAGAGGTGTGAAATGAAACCTTCAATGAATAGAGAAAAAATAGAGAAAAGTAGTCTGTCGTTAAGAGAAGAGGGGCGGTGTGATCCTAGCCACAGGATAATTTTGGTTTCTGTAGTCTTTCTGATGTATGAGTTCGGAAAACCATCTTTGAGAACACAGACGGAGAGATAAGAGTGGTCATGGCCGTCAGAGGTGAAATGAGAAACAATGGTCTTGGACAGATTTTTAATCTTCACAGCCCTTACATGTTCTCTGAAGCGGTCTCTGAGTCTCCTTTCTGTTTGTTTAATGTAGATGGCTGGGCACTTACTGCACGAGATACAGTAAATAAGGTTGCTGGAGATACAAGTTGCCATCTGGGTGATCTGGAATTGTCCTGAGGAGCCTTGAATGAGTGTGGTGTTAGATGTGTCCTTGCAGGTGATACAGCGAGCTCTGTTGCAAGGAAAGTGCCTGGTGTGGATGGTTGCTGAGGGCTGTCAAGTGAGCTGTGAACAAGAAGGTTGCACAGATTAGGTGGTCGGCAATATGAGATGAAAGGGCAATCAGAAAAAAGGGCCCCAATGGAGCGATCATCCTGTAGGATGGAAAAGTTGTCATTAATAGTTCTGGGGATAGGAAGTGTGTTGGGGTGGTAGGGAAGCACCAAAGGAATGCGGTTGTTACGGCAGGAGTTCCTGATTGAGTTGATTGAGTTGATTGAGTTGATTGAGTTGATTGAGTTGAGTTGAGTTGGTCCAAGGGTTGTTTTTGGCTCAGACAAGGGCCCTGTCAATAACACTGCTGGGGTATCCTCTGTTGATGAAAAAGGAATACATTTTTAGGACTTGGTTCTGAAAGTCGATGTTGTCGCTACATAATCGTTGTAGCCGAAGGAACTGTGAAAATGGGAGAGAGTTTTAGTGTGTTTGGGGTGAAATGAGCTATACAGGAGATAGCTGTGTAAATCTGTGGGTTTGTAATAAACCGAAGTGGAGAGTTGGGGGTAGTTGATGGAGAAGTTGATTTCTAGAAATGGAAGAGTAGTTGAAGATATGTTAACCATATATTTGAGGGATGGGTGGAAGTTGGTGAAATGATGCAGAAAGCACTCAAGCTGGTCATTGGAGCATGTGGCAGCACCGACACAGTCATCAATGTATCACTTGTAGAGGTCAGGGACATAGCCAGTATAGGAAGCGAAGAAGCGTTCTTCTACCCAGCCTATTAAAAATATTTTTGTCCCAAAGTCCCATGCTGGTCACTCACTCGCCTGTTTTTGAATGAGAATGCATTCAGTGTGAGAACCAATTCTGCAAGGCGTACCAGGGTGTGGGTGGGTGGATCAAGCACTGTGCATTTGTCCAGCGTGTGCTTGAGGGCTGTAAAGCTGTCATTATGGGGAATGACGGTGTAAAGAAATATGATGTCCATGGTAAACATGCAGCATCCAGGGCCCTGGAATTTGGAAATCCTTAAAAAGTTGGAGCGTGTGGTTGCTGTCCTTGATGTATGAGGGAAGACCTTCAACCAGTGGTCTCATGAGGCTGTCGAGAAAAGCCGAGATGTAAGTAGTCAGACAGTTGCATTCTGATACGATGGGGCGGCCAAGGGTGTCCAGTTTGTGGATTTTGGGGAGGAGGTAAATTTGAGATTCCTGCGGATGTTCAATGATGAGCCAGTTCACCTGGGGGAGCTCCTTACTGTTGATGTGAAGGGAGATGGTGGATACCACTTCCTTTTGATAGTCAGTGGTAGGGTCCCGTTGGAGAGGGAGGTAGGCAGAAGTGTCAGTTATTTGTTTAGAGGCTTTAAAGATATACAGTATAGGTCTTTACATCACACCACAACAGCGCCTCCTTTGTCCACTGGTTTGATGACGATATCATCTCTGTTGCAGAGAGACTGGAGTGCCTGAATTTCTCCTTGGGTGAGGTTGGGCCCGTGTTTATTGGGTATAGAGAGTGTCTTGGGAGCTTGATTGGTGCATTGGTTAATGAAATAATCAACTGGTGGAAAATGTCCAGAGGGGGGAGTGCAACAGCTCTGTTTGAGATTAATGTTGTTAATGACATCAATAACTGGATTGTTGTCAGCTGCCTGTGAAGAGGAATTGTCAGCAAAATGTGCTCTGAGATGGATCCTGCGGTAAAAGCGGTTAAGGTCGACATTGGTCTGGGGGATGTCCAGCTTCCTGGGAACTGGTACAAAACTGAGGCCTTTGTTGAGGAGGGATCGCTCATCCTGTGAAAGGGAAAGGTCAGAAGGTATAGTGACAACAAGGTTAGGATTGGTGAAGGTGTTTGGGGTGTTGATGGTTTTCTTCTGTAGAAGATGACTGAGTTTTTTGTCCTTCTCTATCGTGAGAAACTGGTAGAGTTTAAAGTTGAGAGATCTAATAAGGTTAATTAGGAAGGGAAGATGATGTGGAACTGTCTGCCGTAGAAATTCCTTAGCCCATTTGATATTGTTGTCGGAAAGGATAATCTGTTTTTTGAGGGAGAAAATGGTAGAAAGCATTAGTTTCGCCTTTCAGGTGAAATCCTTTAGGGATGATATTATGTCGATGACATCTGTAAAGGAATTGAAGGTGGTTAGAAAGCCTGGTCTTGGAACAAATAGCTGTGAAGAGACGGAATGCTGGTTTTGTGAGAGAAGCGGGCAAGTGGCCCAGGGAGGAAGAAAAGGTATGACGAAGACTAATTCACTATTAATGAATTAGTAGTAACTTGTTCATTCCAACTGTGCATTAAGAGAACAAATTAAGTTATTTAGTAAACAAACAATAGTTGTAGTGTGAAATAATACTATAGAATATAATACTATTAATTCTAGTATAATATTTTAGTAGAATATAATTGGTGTGGGACTCTCCAAAAACAAATCTCTTCATACTGAAACCAGCACTCAAGAAGTTGGTCACAGATATTTTTTTTATATTTCATATTTTTTATATATATTTTATTACCCAAGGACCTGTTGCATCAGAGTTAACTAGACTATTCACTTCACTCAGCCTCTTTTGTAACTTTTAACATTGATGCTTAACACTGTTTTCTAATAATCATTTGTACTGTAGGTTGATGAGAATGTTTTGAGAAGTTCAGAAGGAGACATTCTTCCATCAGAAACGAATATAATATCTCATACTTGGCCAGAGATGTTGCCTGGATCAGAAAACAAAATCCACCCAGACGAACCAGATGGTAAGGTGGTCCTAACTGCCTTTGAAAAGGTAGGAGTTGAGTGAATACCAGTCATTACACACAGGTGCTTTGTTACTTCTACAGTAGGCCTACAAATTCCCGTTTTGGTTGAAATCATAAAAAGTACTGAAAATATACATTTCAAAAATCAGGTTGAAAAATATGTGCCACTCACCATATTCTGATAAAACTAATTATGATTAATCATGTTCTGAATTAAATCAGAGCTTTGATCGCCAGCACTCACAAATTAACAGCAGGGTGACTTGACTTTTGTTTGCCAACCCAAAGGAATGACACCATTGTGTAGCATAAAATAATTAGAAAATGGAAAATGTCAGCCAGATCAGGCCAAGTCAGATGTACATTTTTCATGTTTGTCAGGCAAAGCAAATTGTATCTTATGTTACTCTCTCTGAATATCCCTCATTTCTTATGTTTGAATTGAGGGCATTTCAGTGTTTAGCATTGTTGCCTCGCAGTGCTGGAGCCCTGGGTTCAATTACAGGCCTGGGGTGAGATTTGAAATTATATTATTCAACTTACATTAAGGAACATTTATGTTTAACAGCTTCCTGCTCCTTAGAGTCTTCCTCACAGTGGAAATATCCTTCTCTAAAGCCAGGGACAGCCATAGTTTTTCACAATTTGTGCATACACTGCTGTTATCAGCTCCCAACACAACCTTATCTTGCTATTTATAACAATTAAATAAATAAATTATATGACTAGAAAATGTATTAACAAGTTTTGAACACATAGTATATAACTTATAAACAAGAACAAGGAGCACACATTTTACAAAGACAGTGTATTTTAGCATACAATGAAAATAATAAATGGGAACATCAATAACAATAAATAATAAACAGGATCCCTGTTTCATCAAAATTATAGCAAATCATTACTTACCAATTTGTGCATTGAAACCTTTATAGAAAGGAATGGTAGAAATAAATATGAAATAATAAAACAAGTGCATTCAATAACAACCCAACAGATCCATAGATGACGCCATTGCCATACACACTGCCCTATCCCATCTGGATAAAAAGAACACATACGCAAGACTGCTATTCACTGACTTCAGCTCAGCTTTTAACACTATCATTCCAGAGAAACTAGTCAAGAAACTCGGTGCACTGGGTCTCAACACCACCCTCTGCAACTGACTTTGGGACTTTATGACAGGCAGACCTCAGGCTGTCAGGCTTGGAAACCATACCTCCGGCACACTAACTCTGAACACTGGGGTCCTCCAGGGGTGTGTGCTTAGTCCATTACTCTACTCCCTCTACACCCACGACTGTAAGGCCAAACACAACACCAACCCCATCATCAAGTTTGCCTATGACACCACAGTTGTAGGTCTGATCACAGATAATGATGAGAGGGCCTACAGGGAGGAGGTCAATCTCCTTACAACATGGTGTGAAGACAACAACCTCACCCTCAATGTCAGCAAAAGCAAGGAGCTGATCGTTGATTTCAGGAAACTGCAAAACCGACATGCCCCTATCCACATCAACAGGACTGAAGTGGAAAGGGTCAGAAACTTCAAATTCCTTGGCGTCCATATAACTGAGGACCTCACATGGTCTCTCAACGCCACCTGTCTGATCAAGAAAGTGCAACAGGGCCTGTACTTCCTAAGATGGTTGAAGAAGGCTTAGATATGTCCCCAGATCCTCACTAACTCTTACAGATGCACTACAGAAAGCACACTGACAGGTTCCATCACAGTGTGGTATGTCAACTTCAGTATTGCTGACCGCAAAGCCCTAAAGCGCGTGATGAAAACTGCCCAGTCTATCACTGGAGTTGCCCTCCCATCTATACAGGACATTTATGACAGACAGTGCTTGAGGAAAGCTCCAAGCATCATCAAAGACCCCACACACCCCATACAAACAGTATGACCCTCTACCATCTGGAAAACGGTACCGGAGCATTACCAGACTCAGAGACAGTTTTTACCCCCACACTATCAAACTATTAAACTCCCAGGCTCTATCACTCTCACCTCACCTCTCACCTATGATCTAAACCTCACAGTGCCTTCTTTCTTACCAAAAACTCAAACACACATTGAAATCTACCTCTACCTTACATGTCAAAAAGCTCACTCCCTATAATTTCTATCCTTTTATTTAATTCTGTTGATGCATGTTTTTGCACATCTGATGTTGTTTTGCACATTGCCTGTTGTCTCTGTCTTTCTTTTATTATACAATTGTATTGTTGTTTCTTTGTAGTACTTATTGTCTGAGAGGTAGCTAAATAGCATTTCGTCATACCATATACCTGTACATGAGTATAATTGCAATAAACTTGAACTTGAATAAACTTGAACTTGAACAGGTGAGGTGAGATCAGTAAGGCCGAGCAGATGGAAATGTTTTATAAAAATGTTCTATAACTCAATTCACCTATATTTCTTGGAGGAAAAATCATCAATTGCATCTTCATACAGCAGTAGTCGACCCACTGCATGACTGATGCTCATGACAGCCAGTCCACTGAGATGGTCTTGTGCCATGTTGACCTCAGGTGTGTTTTAATCCACTTGAAATCTGAAAAGCTCCTCTCTGATCCTGCTACTGTCACTAGGAGAGAGAGACCGCAATCTGAAGAACTACCCATGCGTTAGGTTCACAATATCCCATTTAATGAAATTTTTAGCCAGGCGACCCACACGGCATGTGTACAATTGTGATAAATTTGAATTATTTAACTTCTAGTAAAATACCTCAGGCAGTCTACTTGTCTAGCTTGAAAATGTGTGCACGTCTACCTATCACTAGTTACATTGATCTGACAGACTCAAAACCTAATGACATACAAATTATTACATTGTTATGCGTATTATGCATTATTACAATGACCTAATTTGTTATACCTCTGTTTTGAGATAACGTAGCCCACTTTTCTTTTTTGTGCTTCAAAAACCTTATGTACTTGATTATCAAAATATCGATTATAAAATTGGTCATTTTTGACTAGGCTTCCATTAGGATCATCCACAGCAGCAACAGAACAATGCCCTATCGTAATTTTTTGGCATTTTTGCTGATTACAAATATGTTGAGTTGCACATTGAGAGGGCCCGTGGCAGCCTCGGGGCCCTTGGCAGCTTCGGGGCCCGTGGCAGCCTCGAGGCCCTTGACAGAATGACAGGTTTTCCTATGCCTAGGGCCGGCCCTGTCTAATGCCTGTAACAGCAGGTTTACATCCTCTGCATTGGAAGCACTTTAGACTGGTATCACATAAGCCTCAGGCCATTTGGTGAAGTAGTTCATGGCTACCTGGACGTATCCATTACCAGACTCTGAGTGTGAAAAAGGGCCCAAAACATCCATCCCTACCTGCTCCACGGGTGTCCCCACCTGAAAGAAGGGCATGAGATTGGTCCTGGGGGCCCTTCTGTGCAACACAAGTGTCGCACATCTAGAAATACTGTTCCACATCTTGACAGCTCTAGAAAAACTGCTCCTGGAGGCAACACACCTCAGCACCTGGTTACGGAGGACACGCAGAACCACCAGCTGCTAGTAAGCTACTAACCCCTATACAGGAGCCCCTTGCAGAACGTCAATTTACCCCACTGGCTACAAAAGGCTTTTGTGCCACGGGGGTGAGGAAACAGTTCTTCCAAATTGGGTTGGCATCCCCCAGTCTTCCAGCGAAGAACTGGCCACAACTCAGGATCTGCAGCCTGCTGCTTCTGCAATTCCTCTGGAACCAACCCCAATAATCCCGAAGGTATTCACCTACTCCCCCCAAGCCCCAGCACTGTACTGTTCCTCCAAAGGGGGCAATGTTGACATGGGTCATGTACACAAGGCTGACATGGGTAGCAATGAAATTGCTCCAGACTCTGGTGGCTCTCCCTGTCCTGCACCTGGTTTCTCTGCACTCCTTTCCTGAGTTCCAATACCTCAACCTGTCTTTGTGGATCCCAGACAATCCTGGTGGACATGCATTCCCTGCCCCTGAAGCTGGGCCACTCCTCCTGGACTGTGATGATCTAGCTCTTGGATCCATTACATCATTCGACCTGTACAGTGTCTGGTTGTAACAGATATTTCTTAAACATGCTGCATCATAGTGCATGTGGTGGGAAAGAATAATTTAAAATAATTAATCCAGATGCTGAAGACACCCACAGCAACAGCAATTAAGTTAGGTAGCCTTTTCTGGCAGTGGTAAAAAGACTGAGATGGAGCCCTCAGATGGAGCATATTACAAGTAAAATAAAAAAAAATAAGAAAAATAAATTAATTAAGAAAAAATATTTTTATTGCTAACAAAATCTATTCAAATCAAAACTGGCAAAGTACAGGTCAAACTCAACAAACACATAGCCAGTATGGCAACCTGAAGTGGCCAATACACATCATAAGTGCTTCTATTTGTCGTGCTGAGTTTTTCTTGAACTGTAAATCAGAGATTATTGTTAAATTAGACTACTGTTTCTTACACAAGGAGTTTCGGTGGCTTGTTTTGATGTTCGGCAACTTGCTTGATGGAGAAAGAATTCACCCATATTCAGCAGTGTTTCTTATGCTACAGTGTAGCTCTCTGTCTGAAGTGACATCATCTCATGTAGCAGTGTAGGTTGAAGCAGGACGCTGCAGCTCAGCTGCCTCTGTAAGTCTCTGCAGGGATCTTTGTATAAACTGAAGGAGAGTCAGTTTCCTCCATCTTTTTAAAATGATAGAAGAGGATGTTATTGAGCCCAGGTCTGTGCAAAGTCTTGCAGTCAGCAGCACTAAAAGCTATAAGTTTCTTGCCCTTTCTCCTTCCTTTCAGCGGTGCTCCATCAAATCATGGATTAAACAAAACATCAAGAAGAAGGAATGCATATACTATGTTGAAGCTTCCAGGTAAATATATTCCCTTTTGAATTCCTTGTTATCTATTCTTTCTGCCTTCTGAGCGATATGCATAATAAGATAACTAGTGAGCATTTCCACTAACCTTGAGTAACAAAAATGGGGTGGGCAGTCAGGAACATCAGCATTAGCAGACATGCTGTCTCTATACATTACAAAAGAAGATATTGTTTTGGACTCTTAAAGCTCTTACTGTGTGGCACAAACATTGTTATTGTGATTGTCTGTGGTGGAGAAAAAAAAGGTGGATACTTCCTCATAAAGAAACATAATTACTGTATTTTACTCCACATTAAGTAATGGTGGAGAATAGCCTCAATTCTTAGTAAAGCAGATATTGTAACATATCACACTTTTATCCTGTAAGGTAGATGTGCACTAAACCCATTCAGAGATGTGTAGAGAATTGTTATCTCATTTCCTCTTGTCATTTTAGACACTGTATGGCATTTCAATCTCCAGTGAAACTGAAACAGAGGGAAGAAATAGATTGAGATAAAATACAGAACTGCTGTATTGATTTTGTTTTATGCTTACTACTAGCATGCAGTGTCCTTGCTTAAACCTCACATGAAAGATATTTGACATATTGGTTTCCACACATACTGTATGAATGCAGAAAACATGGAGTCAAAATATAATTTTATTTTTGGTTCTAATTTATCAACAAAATCTGAGAAACAAAGGTTGTGCACACAGTCAGGTAAATTCTTAGTCTTTATGTTTAATGTTTTAATGTTTATTTTAATGTCTAGACTTCAAATCAAGTCATGATTCAATCAAGAGAATTAAGTCATTTTACTACTTTGAGCACTTCACCCATTATTCAGAAGCACTACAGCTTATGAATTGGGAAAAACAGGTACAAAACACGACACCTCAGTAAATATAAAATCATCAAGCAGGCTAAAATGTTTTTAAAAATTAATCTGCATTTTATCAGATATCTACTGAGATGTAGTTGCTAGGATTAATGAAAAGAGATTAAGTTCCATATTTTGTTGTTTAGTAAAAAAATTAAAATATAATTAACTTTTTAAAATCTGTGTCTGTGTCTGTGTTTCCCTCTTACATGTTTTTAATCTCTTAATGCATCTTTACGTTTCATCTTTTGGTGGTGCTCCTGTGCAAGGTCTGGAATGGCATGCTCACTGTTGGAGATTAACGAAAAGCAAGTGAATTGATAACATTTCTCTTTCAGTAAAGCAATCTGTAAGTGTGGCTATCAGAAAACTTCACATTCAGGGGAAGCTTTGAAGCCTGATGAGTTTCTGGGCGAGTTGTGGGATCCAAGGAAACATGTTCGCGAGGTTCCAACCGATGCGTTTGGAGACATTACATTCCCTGGCCTCGGGCAGAAAGTCGGCAAGGTATAGCTGTTCTATAGGAAGCCAAGATTGGTAAAGACCTGGGGGAGGGGGAGAATTTGGCTAGAACACTGCTGTAACATCCGCACTCTTTTTGAGAAATGCCCTAAGATTTGTAATGACCAAAGAAAGTAAGGACTTCGGTTTTACATCTCATTCAAAGCATGGTTCATTTTTACAGTATAGTGTCATCATCTCTATACCGGGCATTAGGACTTACACAGACTACCGGTTGAGCACTGTCTACTGGTCCCGCTAACACCTCTTCCAGGAGTAACCTTAGTTTTCTCACGTCTAACATCCAGGTACAGACCAGTCTCGCACCTGCTTAACTTCAGAATGTTACCAGTTGTGAGTTGCAGGGTGATATGGCTGCTTGCATTCAGTCCACTGATATTGTTTTCAACAGGATTCATCCTTCAGCCAAATAAGACTGATGCCAGAAGTACCTTTAAAATGTATATCTTTCCATTTATTATTCATCCTTCTGTCTATCTTAATAGATCACAAGGACAAGGTTTTTGTACTCCAGGCATGGTCATTTTTTATGATTGTGTAATTCTTTAGATTAGTCTTGTAATCATAGCCGTCCCAGGGACGCCAAATATGTAATGTTGCCATAGCCAAAATGTAAATGTAGTGGCTCTCTGAAGGCACCAGTTCTGTAGGGTTTGGGCATTTACTGTGACAATTATTAATTGTAG